TGGGTTTTTGTCTTCCCCCCCACTTTCCATATATTCCCATACTTTCCTGGGGATCGACGATTACTTGCGTCTGTGTGTTTTTTCCCCTCCTGAATATTGGCGGCGCGCACAAGGGGGGTGGAGGGAGGGGGGGAAGCCTTCTTAGCAGGAGGCAGCCTCGTCGAGGGCGTCAGCCTTACATCTGCAGACGACGCCCGCGCCTTCTACGAAGCAGGGGTGCTCCTGAGAAGGCCTTCCCCCTCCCCCCGACCCCCATCTGCGCATGGCCGACTCCCCCCTAGGTCGGGGAGATGCCGACCTGGGTCAATCCAGACCCGTGTCGGTAGGGCGTTGCAGGATCCTGCACCCGAGCCCGGGTCAATGCGACACTTTTTCGATCTGCGGGGCGATGGCGAGCCTCTTCCGCTAAAAGCTAGGCGGGCTACGCACAGCTTTAATTAGGGAGACAGGGCACAGGAAGGCGGGGCCTCAGGCGGCTGGAGCGGGCGGGGCCAGGGGAACAGGCGGTGCCGAAATGGATGTGCAGGACCCTGCAAGATCCAGCGCTCTGGCTGACCCGCGTTTGCATCGACCCCCCTCTCTTGAGCCCCGCCGGAGTCCGCGGCCCGACGCGAGGAGAAGGCCCCCCCCCCGCGCGGCAGGAGGCCCCGGAGGGCTCTGCACGGGCACGGAGGGGGGCCGTGCGAAGGAGTCACGATGGGCGACCGATTTCGTGTTGTTGTTGTTGTTGCTGTGTTGTTGTTGTTGTTGCTGTTGCTGTTGCTGTTGCTGTTGTGGTTGTTGTTGCTGTTGTGGTTGTGGTTGTTGTTGTTGTTGTTGTTGTTGTTGTGATTGTATGTGTTGTTGTTGTTGTTACTGTTGCTGTTGGTGTTGGTGTTGCTGTTGTTGTTGTTGGTGTTGTTGTTGTTGGTGTTGAATGTTATTGCTTCTAAAGAAATATTATTGTTGGGACCCCTGGTGCGCGACCCCCCCGTTTTATCTAGGCCGCAGCCTTGTTTTCATCATTTTCGAGCGAAAGCCCTTGACAAAACGATGTGATCCAGATCCGGTTGTTTTGTTTCCCCCCGCTTTCCCTTGCAAAAAACAATATAAAATTACATTTCTGGTTCTAACATAACCACATTTCAAGAATCCATTGCAAAAAATGACACGAAGTGCACATCGCCGCGGCCGCCGCGCGCGCATGTCGAAATCCTTCCAAACACACTGTGGTTTCAACAATTTCAAGATGCGATGTCAAGGAAACATATGAAAACACACCACTTTCTCACCAAAAAATTCTGAAAATCTGCCCCCGCGCGCATGCTGAATCCTTCCAAAACCAATGGTTTTTCAACATTCCTATCAAACGGGGCTTCGAGGGCAACTTTTGCGCTCACCTCGAACTGCTTCAACAACGTCTGCGCGCATGCGAGGGCCACCATCCCTGGCAAAAAACGACACGCGGGGCACATGCGCGCGGCCGCCGCGCGCGCACCTCGACATCCTGCCAAACACACTGTGATTTCAACAATTTCAAGATGCGATGTCAAGAAAACATATGAAAACACACCACTTTCTCATCCAAAAATTCCGAAAATCTGCCCCCGCGAAAAGGATCCGGCATCGCTTCGTATTCTTTCGTGTTCCTCTTTAGGTGTGGATCCCTTGCGCAGTGGGCAGAGAGAGAGAGAGCTACTCACGTGTATTTCGTAGAAGAATGAGCCAGTATTGCACATTGAGGCCGGAACCACAAAAACAAAACAAGAATGAGTCTGTATCGTCTCACAACAACGGAAACAAGTCCTGCGGTATGCTGGCGCCACCCACGTGGTACCACTCAAAATAAATGTATTCGCTAGTGGGGTACAGAAACGGAAAAACGTCGTATCAGACGCTAGCGCCTCACCAACCATAGCAGTCAATATCATTGTAGGCCCGACAGACAGTACCGGCGTCGTACTGGTATACCGTGATTTTCTATTCTAGCGTCAGAAACATGTTACCACCAAAAACCAGCACAGGTGTCGAGTGTTTGAAAAGTGGGAAAAGTCGTATACTAAGCTAGCGTCCAGAAAATGTTAGAACAACAAGTCACTGTACCCATGCGCCAGTGTAGTAGCCAAGGTCGTCCGCATGCCACGAAGTGAAGTGTCCGAACGTCATAGGGCGGGAAGCTGGGTGTGGGTGGTCGCGAAGAATCGTTTGGAAATTTGGGAGAGCTTGAACTGCCCCCCCACAAAGTGGGGGTATTGGCCGGCGTCCCATGAAAACCCTGGCACTGGTGAGAACGGTGTGTCCCCACGTGCTAGTAATTGTTGTTGTTGTTGTTGTTGTTGTTGTTGTTGTTGTTGTTGTTTGGTATGTTTTTTTGTTCCGTTTTTTTTTTTTTTTTTTTTTTTTTTTTTTTTTTTTTTTTTTTTTTTTTTTTTTTTTTTTCTCTGGATGTGCCGGTTTGTTATTTTACGTAATACCTATGTAGGTAAGAACAAACAACTACATATTGTGTTTAAGGTTGTTTCGTTTTCTTTTTTCTGTAGGGACTCCCTGACCGAGCGATTGAGGCATCGTAACGGACCCTTGCAGACAAGCTGCCTCGAGAAACGGCCCAACCGAATACGGTGATGCTCGCTTGTTCCACAACGCATGCCACATGATTGCCATTAGCCGACCGGGACCGTCATGCAACCAGTCTGAGCTTGAAGTGTACCTCTGGCTGTTAGGGACTTCCCCCCTGACATTCGAAACCGACAACTCAAAAAAATGGTCACTCACTCCGCCACCGCTCTCACGGGTCAGTGGGTGTTACAATGCATATCCGTTGTTTGACAGAGTTCCTGGAGTTTCCAGGGGCGTCCCCCCCCCTCCTCCCCCCCCCCACCCCCCGACACACACACAGACAGACACAGACACAGACACACACACACACACACACCACACACACCACACACCACCACACACCACACACACGCACAGGCACAGGCACAGGCACACGCACGCCCACAGGCACAGGCACTCGCACAGGCACAAGCACAGGCGGAGGAACAAACACCCGCACCCGCACCCGCACGCGCACAGGCGCACGCGCACAGGCGCACGCGCACGCGCACGCGCACACACACAGACGCACACGCACACACACACACACACACACCACACACACACACACACGCACACGCTCACGCTCACACACACACACACACCCACACTCCCACACTCCCACACCCCCACACTCCCACACTCACATGCTTATACACGCACACGCATACACAGATACACACACATACACCACACCACACACACAGACACACACACACACATACACACACACACACACCAGCGCGCGTTGTTAGAGTGTCACCTCCAATTGTTTCTCTCCAGCGCTCTTTTCGACCTCCAGGCGGCGCCAAGACGGCCGAAGACCAACCGCCAAGACGGCCGAAGACCAACCCACACGAGGATGCTGCAAGACGCCCCCAAGTCGTACGAAGATAACCCAACGAGCACTCAAGGCTCAAGATCTCCATATTATGCCCTACATGAGGTCCCAGGAAGCCACCAAGAGACGCCGAAAGAGGCATCCATCAATGCCATAAGAAGCGAACGCCACTGAAACGCCAAAGGAAACGCACATTGGTTTGCTTACGAAGCGTCTGGGCTTAAGACCTTCTCGGGCACTATACAGAGAGCCTTAACAAGGAAGCCCCGTTATGGGCCCAGGAGGGATCGAGAACCAGACTGCCCCAAGAAGGCTCCAAGACGGCCCCCAGACCCGCCTGAGAGTCCCCAAGACGTGCCGAACGATCCTCTTCGGGAGAGCTCGCTGGCACCATCGTGTCCAAGACGGCTCCGAGACTCCCGACGGACCTGTCACGCGCACGCAAGGGCCCTCCAGAGCCCCCCAAGAGGGCCTCAAGACACCGCGAGGAGGCGAGGAAGCATGGGGAGGCACGAAGCCGGGGACAAAGGGAGGGGGCGCTGCAAACCCGCGCCGAATAAGACGGGTCAATGCGCTGGACAAGATCGGGTCGTACAGGGCAGTTTTTAATACATGGGGTTTTAAACCATATAGGATTTGTAATACATGACTAATTCATGAATAAATGTGTGCACCAACTCATCGTTGTTTTTGATATACATGATCCGCGCGCGGAGCATGTATCAAAAACGGCACTGTGCACTCAACGTCCTTCCTGCTGCGCTGCTGCTAGGGGGCAAACAAATCTACCTCGCTTTTGACCACCCTCGCTTCCAAGAGATACTCGGGTCGGGCGAAAGGGGGGGATAGCAAAGGAGGGGGGTGAAAATCAGCTCACGTAGCTGATTTTCCCGGCGCCTTCCGGCGCCCGAGGCGGCTATGTATCGAGGAATGGGCCCCTCGGTGAGGCCGAAACCAGCTGCATGCAGCAAACTTCGTAACCCCCCCTTTCCCAATCCCCCCCTTTCGCCCGGCCCGAGATACCCAGCGATGCCAAAATACGGCCTGCACTGGTCAGGCTGCTTGACGAGGAGGCGCGTGGTATGACCTGGTTTTGCCTGGAAGCGAACGCGGGGCGGGTAATTCACGCTCTGAGGCTGCGCTGGCGCGGCGTGCCGCCGGCCAGCTGGGCACTCTGCCCGCGCCCAGGTGCCCTGCCATCGCTCCGCTCCGCCCGCCACCGCTCGGGCGGCCGTCCCCCGTGCATGTGCCTCGAGCTCGCCGGCCCTCTGCCCGCCGAGGGGGATCCGGGGGTGTGCCCCCGAGGGCCCTCGCCGAGGCCGAGGGCGCCAAGGCCGAGCGACGCCGCGACCGAGCGGTGTGATGCTGAGACCGAGCGGGCGACGACAGGTGCCGAGACCGAGCGATGCCGAGCGGGGAGGAGGAGGAGGAGGAGGTGGAGGAGGAGGAGGAGGAGGTGGAGGAGAAGGAGGAGGTGGAGGAGGAGGAGCAGGAGGAGGAGGTGGAGGTGGAGGAGGAGGTCGAGCGAGCGGTGCCGAGGCCGAGCGAGCGGGCCGGCCTGCCGGCGGGCGGCGCGCCCGGCCTTGAGCAGGTCTGCGTCGAGGCGCAGGGCGAAGCACGGGACGCCAAGGCCGTAGGCCTCGGCCGCGGCCACAGACAAACTTCCATCTGGCGATCGCAAGCATGGGTCAAAGGGGGCGGATGAGCGACGGGTTCCGTTTCCATCGGACATCGCGGATCTCCGCCGCCGAGCAAGGCGGCACCGGCGGCATTTTGGGGAGGGCGCCTCCCCCGATCCATGGATTTGGCGGCCACAGGCATGAGGCCAACTCCGGTAGGTCGAGCATGTCCTCCTACGGGCGGATTTTGGAGAAACATCCATCTAAGAAAAAATCAAGCAACATTCAGAAATGGTCAGACCATAATCGAAACATCGCGCCCATACTGATTTCTGCTAGTTTTGAATATCCCTCCTGTAGAGGGACACGCCCGACTGAAGAGCAGGCAAGGGAGAAGACCAGGGCTGGGCCTGAGGGGTGCTGTTCGTTTTGTTGTCCAGTGTGTTGTTCGGTGTGCTTCGCCGGCTCCCCTGGGCCTTTCTTTCCAAAACGCGGAACAAGGCGAAACCCGAAGTGCAGCAAAACAACGTGCCCAGCCCTGAAGAAGAGGGTTGGCCGGTACAGGCGGCAGGAAGCAGGACGGGCGTGACGGAGGAAACCGAGGGAGGGGGGACGGGAGGGGAAGGAGCGGGGAGAAAATGCGGGCCGAGAAGGGCGAGAGGGAGGACGGGAGACGAGAGATGGAAGGGGGTGGAGAAGAAGAGGACAGGAGGTTGGGGAGGAGCGGACATGTGATGGTTGGGAGGAAAAAGAAAGCGGAGAGAGCATGGATGGAGAGGGACAAGACTGGAAGGCAATGTGAACAAGACAGGGATGGCGGGGGTAACAGACAGGATCGGGACATGGACACTGGGGAGGCTCAAAGATACCAATATCGCTACTCCCCAGACCTCTCGCGGGGTGCGTTGTGACCAAAACTTCGGGGCGAATCCAGCGGTGGCGACAAGGGCCTCCCAGGAGGCCCAAAAAGGCGAAAACGAGAGACACGTGGCGGTATGAGTACCTCTCCAGACATGCGACGTCATGATTTTTTCTGTAGGTGGTCCATGGAAGTCCCGACCCTTTGCCCAGGACTGGTTTTTCATCCTGAATCGTTTTTTGAATGTCCTGACGCTCGGCGAGGGTCCCTGGAGGCCGAAAATGTCCAAAAACCTCCCGTCCTGATCTCTTAACGACGCTATCGTGCCTGGGTTTCCCTCCTCCGACAGAAGGCGACGCCGCGCCCCTCGCCTCAAACTGCCTGTGCAGGGCAGGCGCTGGCGGGCGCCCTGACGCCTCCAGGCTGGTCGCGTCCCCCGCCCTCGCACGCTGCGGCTCCTGCCCCCTCCGCCGCTGCCCCTCTCCGCCGCTGCCCTTCGCCCCCCCCCCCCCCCCCTCCCTCCCCCACCCTGTCAATCCCACCAGCCCTCGGGCCGTAGGTGGTTTAGGGACTTTCCTCTCCCACCCCTCCTTTTTCCTCTTCGGGGAGGGGCTTGTCCCTCCCCTTCCCCCCTCCCCTGGACCTCGACAAAGGGTGTTCCGCGAGTCGTCGGAGCGTCCAAAACGGCCCCGGCGAGGAAGCCACAAAAGGGAAGTCCAGCCAAAAGGGGGTGGTGCAATAGGTTTGGGGTAATTGCATTACGAATGTACTGCGCCCGAGACTTGTATTGCTCTGTACTGCAACGAATGTATTGGATGCGAAAGCCCAACAATACACCTGCGCACCCGAGTGCGTCGCACACCTCAACTCTATTACAATCCCACACACATATATTGCACATCTATTGCGCCACATCCTTTTCGCTGGACCACCTTCTGGGTCAACCTAAAATGAAGGATGCCAGGGAAACGCAAACAAACACACACACACACAACTCACAGGATTCCCAGATTCGCCGGCCCAACTGGCCAGAGGCGTGCTAAGATCTCAAGTGCCTGGTAAACAATACTTCTGGCTCGCGCGCGCGGGGCGGCCCCTGGGGTTCCGCGGCCGAAGGGTACGCCGAGCAGGTCCCCAGCATATGCCCACCAAAGATGGTTTTGCTCCCGGGCGCCGCCCCCAGGGCCTCCCATGCTCCCCCAAAAAAACCCCGAGGCCCCCAAGAGGCCCTCCATTGGGAGTCCCGAAACGGTGCGGTGACAGACCGTGCGGTGACCTCGACATCCCGCAAGACCTCACCGCACGGTCCGTCACCGCACGGTTTTGGGACCTCGGAGGCCCCAGTCGCCCGAAACGTCCTTGGAGAACGACCCGAGTCCCAAAACCGTGCGGTGACCCCGAATCCCCACCGACTCACCGCACGGTGTGGTCACCACTCCGTTTTGGGGGCCCCCGACTCTAGATGGTCCTAGAGGCATCCGAGACACGACAAGAGCGCCCCAAGACACTCAGCATGGCCCCAGGACGGCCCAAGAGGCCCCAAAGAAGCCCCAAGAGCGCTCCAAGAGGACCCCAAAGAGGGCTCAAAAAAGCAACACTTGTTGATTATCCTTGTGTGTCGCGTTCTCGCGTTTTCGGGCTTCCGACGCTCCAAGATGGCCCCAGAGGGCCCCAAAACCGCCCCAAAACGTCCCGAGAGGCCCCCAAGAGGGCCCCATGACATATCAAGAAGGCCCCACAAAACGGCCCCAGAGGTGTCCGAAATCGCCCAAGAGGGCCCCAAACGGCCCCAAGAGGAGCCCAAAAGGGGAAACACAAACCCCCGGTCCTGAGGTCCTGCAGGTGTGCTCCCCGTCGTGGGCCTGCCGGGGGACATGTCGCCCGTGTCGAGCGCGAGCAGAAACCCCCTCCAGACGGAGTAAAGTCGGGCCTGTCCCTCTACATGAGGAATATTCAAACATCATCAAAAAAATCCGCCGACCCCTTGTGGGTCTCTAGGCGCGTGAGATTTTTCCTCCCTCGATATTCCCCCCGGGGGCCCGAAACTGGCAATTCGACGCCGCCCCCCCGGGCCCGGCCGGGCCCCGGACCGAACGCGCCACAGGGAACTCGTCAAAAAGGGGCCAAAACTCTGCAAAAAAGGTACCAAAACGCTCCCCGGACGGTCCCCGAGACCACGATTCGCACACATAGCACCCCCAGACGCCCACGATGGCCTCCAAGAGGTCTCCGAAGCTGCCAAAAAGTCCCAAACAGGCCCCTAAGATGCGCCCCGAGAAGGTCGCGAGAAACAAGAATCGGCCCATTTCCTCCGAACACAACGCGTCCACGACAGGCAGAGGAACCTTCAACATCGCTCCCAGACGGCCAGAGGGTCCCCAAAGCAGGGTCGCTCAGGGTCCAACAACAGCCCACGAAGCCCCCAAAACGGCCCAAGTGGACCCCCAGACGGCTCCAACACGGAGTCCACAGGGCACCTTTTCGAGCGTTCGGCTCCAAGACGCTCCCAGCCTGCTCCAAGAGCGCCCCAAAAGGGCCTGCGGGACCTCCCAGAAAACCTCCGAAGCCTCCAAAAAGCCACGAGGAAGTCCCCAAGAGGCCCCACAAATACCTGCAAACGACCCCGTCAGGCCTCGCACGAGATCTTCTTCACCATCCGTGTGGCCGCCTACCTGTATACCGCGCAAGGTGGCCGGATGCGCCGCGCCCCATTCGACAACGACTCGTGCAGTTTTTGGACCGCCGTCTATGGGCGCGGGTGTTGGCAAGCATTTTCCCCAAATCGTCACTCCTTCTCCTCCTCCTCCGAGGGCCCTCCTCCGCCTCTCCCCCATCCCCCCCCCTCTTCCTCCTCCTCCTCCTCCTCCTCCTCCGTTTTTTCCTGTTTGGCACCATGTCACCACCTCCGCGTCTCATCATCAATACCTGTAATCCCAGCCTGCCCCGCGGACGTGCTGCCGCCGACCGGCCGCGGCCCGTGCCTCGGCGGTGGACAACCCTCCCTTTAGCAGACCTCCCCTTAGCGAAAACGGCCTGGGACCGACACCGACGGACCCGGACCCGCACAAATGACGGCCGCGACGCCTTCTCGCGAACCGAAAAAACGGCCAATTCCTGAATCGACGTGTCAGGGTAGGAGGTTGATGCCCCTCCTTCTGCCCCCTTCTCTCTGTTAATTCAAGCTGTGAGCGGCCCGCTTAGCTTCGACCGAAAGAGGTGCGCTCTCGACCCGCGAATCAAAAAAACGTGTCAGGGTAGGAGGTCTGTCCACCCCCGAGTGCCTCCGCCCCTTAGCGAAAACGGCCTGGGACCGAAACCGACGGACCTCTCGCGAACCGAAACGCCCTCTCGCGACCAAAAATGACGGCCGCGACGCCCTCTCGCGAACCGAAAACGGCCAATTCCTTACTCGACGTGTCAGGGTAGGAGGTCTGTCTACCCCCGACACAAGGGGGTGGCGCAATAGATCTGGTGCAAGAGATTTGTCGGTTGCAATGCATTCCAGGGCGCAAAATGTATTGCCTGATTCTCGCGCTCAATACATGAGTCGCAATGCAATGCGGTACAATTCTCTGGCGCAGTGAATTTGCAATACAATTGCCTCAAGTCTATTGCACCGCCCCATTTCAGCCGGACCCCCTTTGGGCCACCCAAAAGTGCCACCCGAGTGCCTCTGCCCACCCCCTGGGTGTCTCCGCCCCCGCCAGGGGCATGCCGGCTCGCCGGAGGCGCGCGCCGAGGCCGCGGCGAAGAGGCACGCCCACACGGTCGCGAGGAGCCCGACGAGCACCAGGAGCCTGAGAGCAGAGGC